TTGGCGGAGCGGCCTGCGGGTGGGCGGGGCGCCGGAGCTGAGCGCGGCCGCGGACGCGCAGTGCGGTGTCCGGAAACTCGTTAAACTGCGTAAGGGGTGATCACCCATCGCGAGGAGGCGGCCCGGAGCACTGGGCCAGTGGCGCAATGGATAACGCGTCTGACTACGGATCAGAAGATTCTAGGTTCGACTCCTGGCTGGCTCGGAACGTGCTTTTTTGACCCATCTGACGTGGGTTGTAGGACTCCCTTGGAAAAAATGGCTAGCACGTGAAGGTTATGCTTTACGTTTTCATTCTCTTTCGCCCGAAATGTCCTCTTTTCAGCTGTGGTCTGGCAACCCGGAGGTGCCCAAAGTGGTTTGGCGAACTGCAGAGCGGTGCGTTCGTGGTGCACCTGTTCTGTGCCGTGGGGAGTCGTAGGAAAACACCTGCACCGGTCGCAGTTTGAAGTGGGGGGCCGGGCCGGAACTTAGCTGCAGGATGACGCAAACGCGCGCGGAAGGCCCAGGTCTGCCTTTTCCCTCTGGAGCGGAAATCGCAGTTGTGTCCGGTGACCCGCCGCGGGCCGGGAACGCTGCACCGCGGCTGCGCGGAGAGACTGCTCCAGAGCCAGCTGGGCCCAGATCCCACCGAGCAGCCTTAAAACGTGGACGTGTTCCCGGTGCCGGGTCCCAGGTAATCTAGTGTAGGGCCCTCGTGTCACGGCCCGGGGACCTCAGACATGCCGAATGTGTGGCTGGGAGGGGACGCCACCGTGAGGGTGGAGTCGTGGGACACTGTCCAGTTGTCTGTCCACTTAACTCACACGTTCCGCGGCCCCCCAGGAAATTGTGGAGAATTTATAAAGTACAGAAAACTGCTGGGAATAACAATTAACGCTAGTTTCCAACACGAGGTCATTACTATGGAAGTCCTAATGTTTCTCCTTAAAGATGCGCTGCTCCTACTGTTAATATAGACATACTTGTGTATATGCCTCTTCTTCCACATTGGAGTTGTACTGGAAATGGGTTTATGTTTTTATTGTTTCCTTTAGCTTTTTGTCTGACACTTAATATCACTAAATATTAAATGATGTGTTGAAGTATGTCTAAGTCTTGCAGATTTCTAGATGTTGCATGACTGGGTGGACATCTTTAAAGTCCATATCGCGGACTTTGAAGACTTTTGGTGCATATTTTCAAACTGCCCTCCAGAACAAATCAAACCATCACTAGCATTTGTTTCTGAGCATACTGAGCTTGGGTTTGAAGTTTCTCACTATAGGGCGCCTGCACTTGCAGGAAAGAGACAGAGACAGAAAGTGGAAAATCCAGAGGGCTAGGGCCAGCAGCTGGTGTCATGGTTATGTCACTGGCTAGTCAACCGTGGCTCAAGTCTTGGACCCAGTGGCTTAAAACTCATACCAGGCACATGCGTGGGCATGCCCAAAATCTCAAGAGAAGACTAGAGAAGGGATTACAGCGTGGCCATCCCTGCTGGGGGATGATTTCTTGCTTTGTCTCTGTTCCCCCCCACCTCCCGTTAAAACACACGCCCTATAGCAAAAATCTGTCTTTAAAAAAAGGAAAATGTAGCACTCACATGGCTGGACTCCCACATGGCTGACTGTGGTTCAAGTCCTGGACCCCTTGGCGTGAAATCACCTCAGGCATGTGTACATGCATGCCCAAGATCCCAGGGGGAGAATGAAGAAGGGATCGTGGCGTGGCCATTCCCGTGGAGGGGGTGCTTCCTCACTGTCTCTGTGTCTCCCGTGCACCTGTGGCCCACGCCCACAGAAGACTGCAAACGTTCTGCGGAGAGCGCTTTAATAGCCTACGGATGGACACAACTTCTGGCAGCACAGCGGTGACTGCGGTACAGCAAGTCACGGAGGATTCCCGTACAATGAGGCTGTCAGAACAGATGGCGATGTCAGGGCTCAGAAGGCGGCGAACACGCTCCACCCCTTCCTCTGCTACTTTAAAAAGTTACCTCCAACGGTAACTGGGAACTGAGGACTGGTTCTTGGCACAAAGAGTAGTACAAACAAGTCCGGTTTCCCGGAAGACACGGTTTTAACAAACGCGTGGAACAGCATCTGCGGCTGAGCCTCGCACGTTCTTTTCAGGACGCTGCAGCAGGACCCTCACACGGCGGCCCAGCCTGGGGGACTGCGCAGGATGGGTTCCAAATGACTCTCAAGGCCTACCATTTGCACCGGCACTGGCGTGACTCGAGGCGCGGACACAGACCCCGACAGCTCACAGTGTGCGGAACTCGTAACCGACCCCACTGGCCACCCAGGCCTCTGCCGCGCAGCCGCCAGGACCAGCCGAGGAGGGTTTTACTTGTGCTGGCGCCACTGAGCACCAGCAAGGCCGTCCTGCCGTCCTGCGCAGGCCCTGGCTGGAGCTCTAGCTGCCCCTCGGTGAGATGGACAAAGCCCCGCACCAAACAACAGATGCGGTGGGAGAGGGAGAGAAAAGTTCAAAGTGGGTTACTGGTTTTTCTCAGACCACCCAGGTTTCTGAATGTCATGGGGGTGGGGGGGACGAGGACGACACACACGGGCCAGCAGGTGGCATGGAGGATAAGGTGGCTGAACCCCGCATGGCTGACTTCACGGTTCAAGTCTCAGACTGGGTGGCTCAAAAACATGCTAAGCACATGAGCATACGCACCCAAATTCCCCAGAACAGAGAAGGGTCTGTGGGATGGCCTTCTCCCTTTCTCCCTCCCCCATAAGCTCACATGCCCTATAGCAAAAAAAAAAAAAAAAGATACAGATACAGACAGACCAGGAGATGGTGGGGAAAAATCACAGGAGGCAAGGGCGGAGGGTGGAGGCTGGCCTTGGGGCCCAGTGGCCGGCCACATTCTTCCTAGTTTTATCTGAAATCTGAGAGGTGACCAGGCAGCTCAGGAAGGGCTATTTGCTTGAACGTTTCTGACAAACCGGCTGACCCTGGTGTAGCTGGTGCTGTCTCCTGGGAGCGCATTAATACTTGTTCCAGTTCCTCCCAGCTAATAATTTATACAGCATGGAAAAGACCAGGCAGGTGAACGTCTCTCTATGGCTTTTGGGCCAGGGCCTGAGGCAGAGAGAAACAGAACTGACCGTTCTAGAACTGCAGATCCCTACCTGGGGTCCTCTCCAGGGACACACAATCAAAGACATCCACGCGGACCTCTTTGCTGTTCTTTGTCAATGACAGGAAATGCCACATTTGCAAAGATATTGGAATCACCTCGATCAACTTTAATAACTTCATTGAAAAACCAATCACAGATTTCTTCTTAACTGATTACCCACTTTGCAGACAAATCCCTGCTCTTCTGGCGCACCCAGCTCATGCCCTCCACTTTGCCTGACGAGGGAGCAGCCAAGGTGTGCGGGCAGGGCCTGTGTCCAGGTTGGCAAGGCCACATTGAGACACCTCAGCTGGCCAGAGCTGTACTGGAGACCTGGGCGGAGGGCCCACTCTCAGGGGTCGCTTCCCAGCCGCCCGCAGGAGCAGAGGAAGGCGCTTGGCATGGGTGACGACACCTGACAAAGGACTGCGATGGAGGAAGTCCGAACACGTGGCAAAGGCAAGCTGGGCTCCAGTTCCGTGCTGCCCACAGGCAAGGCAGTCCGCACAGGGCCTGGAGTGAGCCAGCCCATGACAAGTCGGTCTTCATGTGCCCAGGCCTGGCCTCCGCACCCGGCCTGGGCCCTGGGCTCCAGCTGGAAGGTGCAGGTGCAAGGGCCATGCCCGGCCTCCTGCATCAAGGCTGCGGGCCCCCTCAGGGCATGGACAGCGTTGTTTTCTACCAGTGTTTGGCAGCTCCCTCTAACTGAGATACCAAGGGTACTGCCTTCCAGCTTGGGAGTGTAACCTGCAGACGGTGCCTTGTCAATGCAGAGGTGACCCTGAAACAGCCTGTGTGTGGTGCCCACAGAGCCCTGCCCCCGGGAGCAGCTCGCTGAAGCACACGGCCACAGCGCCAGACTTTCAGCGGGCCCACTGCCTTGCCGCTGACCTTCAGCAGAGATGGCGCTCTGGCTAGCTGGGGCCCGGCTGCTGCATGGAGACGACAATCCCCAGCACGTCAGCGAAGCTGCCTGGGTCCATCGTGATGGCCAGATCCCCTTACTCTACGATCTGGTGACGCTCTGTCTGTGAGGTATTTGTGTGTGTGGAAGACTGGAAGTGGAGGGAAACGGTTAAGAAAAAACAAACACACAGACAACAGCAGTGTAGCTTGTACCGGTTTCTTCAAACATCAGCCTGTGCCAACAATCGGGCAAGAGAGAAGCCTTTGTAATCAATGCAATAGCATAGCCTGAGGCGCCTCCTCCAGGCTGGCCTCGAGATCTCTCACACACACAAATTCTTGCTTACAAAAAGCAATCCCCTGTAAGTGGACAGGACTTGGAGAAGGCCCACTGTTAAATGGGCTAAAACAGGCACAGAGATGTCCCCACGCAGGGTCCTGAGACCCGCCCTGCAGTGGCAGCTCCAGTTGCAGGCCTCACTCTCTGGAGAAAGGCTGTAAGCGCAGAGGGGCAGGGAAGCCCTGGCGCCTGCACCAGGTTCTCTCCCGAAGCCAGGTTTCCTGGGCACGCAGCTCTGGGCCAAGGCCAGGGCCAGGGCCGCCTCCTCTTGGACAGTGAGGGCCTGCAGAGGCCTGGAGGACCCGGCACGGGCAGGGAGGAGCCTGCCCTCTTATCTCGTCTCAGCTGACAATCCTCACGTCAGAGCTTCCTTCTCCCAGCACTGCGGCTAGAGTTGGCAGCCACTCCACAGAACTGAAGCTCTGGGTGGAAAGAAGCCTTAAGGCGCGCACGTGTGTGTGTGTGTGTGCATGTGTGTGTGTCTGTGTGTGCGCATGTGTGTGCAGGCATTTTCCTCGAGGGGAAAGGGCTGAATGTCCAGCTCAGCCTGAGCTGTCTCTTCGGGGACGCTATGAAACATGCTCAGTGTAAACCTCTGCCTCTGCGTGGAACCACTCCCAGGGGCAGGAGGGTTTGTGCAGTGGGCCCCTTGTGACCTGCCGTCCTGCGTCACACGTGTGCTGCCGGTTTTCCTGCGCAGCCTCACGAGGGGGGGCAGCGGGAAAAGCACCTGAGAAGCACACGGCAGGCCTCCCTGGCTAGAGGCAGGCCCACACTACCCTCGGGAGCCGGCGCCTGCCCGCTTCTGCTGCAAGCCCACCCAGGAGCCAGCAGGAGTCAGAGCGGAGCTGTCCCTGAGCTCCGGGGCGTGCGTGGCCCGTGGCGGCTCTGGCTAGAAGTGGTGCTGGCGAAGGGCTGCGGGGGGGCCCTGCTCCAGCCTCTTCACGTGGCAGGCATGGCAGAAGAGGTGGTCCTCCAGGGGGTAGCAGCGGTGACCGTCTTCGTCATTGAGCTCCAGACCGCAGTCCTGGGGGGGACACAACGTCAGTGGGAGCAAAACCCAGGCGACTGCAACAACGA